CCCCCCCCGCGCCGCCGCGGAGGGGCCGACTGCGCGCCCGCCCCCTCACAAACCGCCCGGAGACTGCCGACGTGCCTGATATAAAATTTATTGATCTCTCTTCGTTTGGAAGAAGAAAGCAAACGAGAATTAGGGACAGGGAGAGGGAAGGAGTATTTCGATTACTTTTTTCGAAGAATACGGTAAACAAAACTAAAATGCTTCTTCATCTGATATGTCAAAACATGGTTCACAGTAAAATTCACAAACCAATTTACATAAGTTTACAGCTTAAGAAAAACCAAGACATACAACTTACTATAAATAAAAGAAATGCGTTTGCGACCCGCACAGCTCTGCCCCACTTCCCCTTTTTTTTAAGGAACAAAACCCTAATATTAAAAAGTCGTGAAAACTACAGATTGTGGATATAAACCAAGCGAGGCTCGGTAAGGAGGGCAGAAAAAAACATTTGAAAAACCACAACGACAATGTGAACAACCGAGTTTAAGAACAAAAGCCCGCCGGTTTATTGTAATGTCATTGCAACGCTAGAAATCAAACTGGAAGATGCAAGATCTTTTAAAAAACTTTTAAGCGAATAAAACAGTGCCCAACTTAGCAGAAACCAAGAAAGAAGTTGCCGTGGTGTAAAAACTTCACAACGGCTTCTAGGAGGCAGAAGTTGTGCTCTTATTAAAATAACAGCTTACTCAAATACTTTAGTTTTGTACAAAACAAACAAAAAAAAGGACACAACTAACGGATTCCTTTTTTTTTAAATTTCTCCAAAGTTAGTAATAAGTCTGCTAAGCCGAGCAACACTGCCGTACGTCCCGGTGTAGTCAGTGAACGATGGTGTTAGGGATTAAGACGGGGAGCCGTCCGGAGCAGCCAAGTTTATATGTGAGTTAGTGGTACGGTACCATTCACGCCAGTCCCGGCACTCTGGTAGTGCTGGTGGACGCTGTGTAACCTGCTGCCCTGCAAGGCCGAAGGGTCTGTGGCGTCCCCCCCAGGGGGCAGGTACATGCTGATCATATCCCGCAGGTCTCCCAGGCAGGCCCTCTGCGAGTGGGAAGTGATGGCCGGAGGCGGCGAGCTGGGCTCGGATTTCACCACCGAGCCCATGGAGCCCAGGCTCATGGCCGTGGAGGGCTGCTGGCCGTAGGCGGCGGGGGACATGCTGTAGGTGGAGGCGGCGTTCATGTAGGTCTGGGCCGTGGACATCATGGGGCTGTACTGCAGGCCCGTCATGTCGTAGCGGTGCATCTGCTGCAGTTGCGGGCTGTTCATGCCCGGGTGCTGACCGTAGCCCAGCTGATCTTGCATCAGGGAGTAAGCCCCGTTGGTCCAGCCGTTCATGTGGGCATAAGTGTCAATCCTCTGTCCCACCCCGACGGAGCTGCTCACCGCGTTGCCCCCTCCCGGGGCCAGTAGGTTGCCGGGCAGCGAGTATTTGTCCTTCTTCAGCAAGGTCTTGGTCTTTCTCCGGGGCCGGTATTTGTAATCCGGATACTCCTTCATGTGCACGGCCCGCAGTCGCTTGGCCTCATCGATGAAAGGCCGCTTCTCGGCGTCGCTCAGCAGCTTCCAGTCCGCCCCGAGGCGCTTGCTGATCTCCGAGTTGTGCATCTTGGGGTTCTCCTGGGCCATCTTCCGCCGCTGACCCCGCGACCACACCATGAAGGCGTTCATGGGGCGCTTCACCCGGTCCTGGTCCGAACCGGCTCCCGCCCCGTTGCTGGTCCCGCTGCCTCCGCCGCCTTTCCCGTTGCTGCCCGGTGCGGGGTTGCCCCCGGCGTTGCCCGGCGTGGGCTGCGGCGTCTTGATCTCAGTCTCCAGCATGCTGTACATGGCCGGAGCCGGCAAG